TATTATATTATATGCATGTCATGAGTAGAAGTTCACGCAAGTGACGAAAGTTCTTTGATCGAACGATTCTTTTACATATAGCTCAATCAGCTCACGACTTCCGGTCGTTGACCAAGTATTCTCTGGGTAGCTTAAGAAAATACGTTTGAAGGCGAGCTAAAGTGAGAAAGCGAAACATCCCCTACATGGGGTTGCGCACCCCCAATGAAAACTAACAACCATACCCGTCCCCACGCTCATAAGCGCTCGTGCGTTTGTTCATAATTTGTTACAAATTTCTCATGTTTCACTCGGCTCCACTCAATTCAGGCGTGTTTTTTGTGGTGGCCCTTGTTAACAGTAAGTCAAACAGTTAGCGAAATTAGTTCACATTCCTATTAATAAATAATATAAGTATTATTTGGACATTCGTTATCAGATCCTGATAGCGTAAACGTTATAGCGCAATAAACACGCGTACAAATTTAGATGTCCGATACGGCTCACCTGCCAAAGGAGCCTAAATGTTTAACTTTCCCTTCGCAAGTGCCTGGATACACGACCCGCTTTCTTTGCTGCTTGTTCACCACTTCCTGTCATAGTCATCAACACCTTATAGCTTTCGAGTTGTCCCCAGCGTTGAGCCTCCAGCATGCTTATTCTAGTAAAAAAAGTTTATTTTTTATTATTAATTATCTATTAATCACAACCATTTTTGACATTTCATTATCACGGTCACTCGAAATCAATTTAAACGCATTTTTCATATTTTCCATTATTTATTGGCTTTGTCAACACCACAAAACATACATACATATGATATGTTCTCGTGTCCGTGCTGGTGCATTTTGTTCAATTTTCATGATTACTTATTGCATAATGCAGTTTACTTTCAAATAAATTAGCAACCTAATTGACCCTATCACTTTGAACAGCGGCATTTCGTCTGTCAATGGAGACACAATCGATCTTCTTCCGGTTTTTTATGTCCCAACATTCCGATCCGTTTGACTACATTCGTAGAAATAATCGTACACACAAATATATACATATGTACATACATATGTGCAGTCGTAATGTGAAGTGTAACCTAGTCGAATATGAAATGAGTCTATAGATTTTGAAAATTTGATTTGGTTGATAAATGCTAAATTCAAAGCTCTTATTACAACTAAGTATATAAGCAGTGCATTCAAAACAAAAAATAACGTTTTCCCTAATCAAAGTATAGGTAGCGTTGTTCGCTAACTTTTATTCAACATTTGCTCCAATCTCCCGCGCTGTCGGCTGATGGCAACTTACAGCTAAATTGTTCTCACATTTCACAGGAAGCGACCTGCAGGTATTTTGGAGGAGCCGAATGAAATATTTCCTTGACGTTACATGTTTTCTTGATATTTCAGTTTTCATTAAAGTCCAAACATTACTTATTGGATTGGCTTCCGGTGACGGCCTATGCTTCGGATCATTGTTTTCTTACACTATCCAATCATGGTTATTTTTGACTGCTGACTTTAGTCAGCCTTTTTATACAATTTAATCATTCTAACGAGGTTCAGATTTTCTGTGAACCACCTCAAAAATCCAAGTCCATGAGCAGAGGTGCATCTATTAACTTGCACATTTTGGAGGTACTGAAATTTTAAGTTTTATATCCATTGCAGATGGTAATGAATCGCTTGAAGTATATCCATTATAGTGTGATTAAAGTGACTTCAGTGCAGCTGTCTACTGAAGTTTTCTTAAAGGCATTAAAAGTTCAAGGAGTTTCTACCTATATTTGACAATTTTTAATTCAAACTCAATCAGATGGATTCAGTTGCAATGACTTTATCGACCTTTGTTAGACTTAAGTACACCGTGACGCACCATACCCTCCAATTCTTTGTTCACGTCATAGCTGTTCGTTTCGTCACAACCTAAAAGCAATGAAATGTAATTGTTTTTCAAATTTGTTTGCTTTTACATCAAGACTCATTCAAATCCAACTCAATGAAGCATTGTTTGCTTATCGCTTGTGGGTCATACCTACTTCCGAACGCCATTTACACTGCTGCATAGTAGAAAATAAGTTGCATAAATTGTTTTGTCTTCGTTGTCAGTCGGTTGTTGAATAAGTTAAGCGCTTCCAGTCAACGCTCGCCGAATGTGTGAATGCTATAAATGAAAATGGAAACGCGTTGCCTGCCGACTAATTGAGTTGTGTCTAGATAAACAAGAACAGCAGCAACAACAACACAGGCGCATAATTGTAAATTTCAATTCCAAATTGAGCGCATTTCAATTGAATTTCCACGCAAAAACATTATTTAAACGAGAGCGGCAGTTCGAGTATGTGAACAAATAGGTATGAACACTCGTAAGCGCCGCAGAGGAACAGACATATGTATCTACTTACATAACTGCTAAATACGTACATAAGTACGTGCCGTCGCATTAGTGCTGATAATATTAGAGGATCCATTTCGAATTGGACAAATGGCACTCATAAGGTCTCATAAAGAATACAATGGTTTAAGGTTTAACGTAAGGTGTGTAATTCAGGCATGAATATAATTATGCATTCGCTATAAAAAGACTTGATGTCCATGACTATCAACAAACGGCGAACTTGATAAATTTACTCGGTCGGAAACTGACTAATTGGCCCTTACTTCATAAGAAGAAGATAATGAAAATAAACCAACAGTTTTGAAGAATATTTTGATAAAAATATTGAAAGTAACAAATGGTAAGAGGAACATATTTGCCGTAAACATTTACCCACCTTCAAGATTTTTTTAAATATTAAACTTCATTAGTCTAGCTTTTGTTTGCTTACACTCTGCGCGGTCTGAAATGTGGCGGTGTTGGCGAGAGGGACGCGGCGCGCGGAGCAGTTCACACGCGTACCAACACTCGCGCACTTGCTAACTGTTCAGCTATTATCGTGTGATTAACCTACGGAATGGAAGCTTTGAAGGCCAACTTCACAACAGTCACTCACACATAGCGGAGTACTTTGTATTCACAAATACATATGTATAAAATTCGTATGTATTGCGTACTTTTAAATAATTTCTGTAATCAGAAATACATACATACGTTCTCTCTGTATCAACCCATTTTTTTCTATAGTTTCCAAGTACAATTGTAGTTACTGCTGTACATGAGCGTGTGTATGCTTTTTCGATATTTCCCATTGCAGTTTTGAAGTCGAACCTCCGGATAATAAATATAGCGGATATCTTCAGTTGGAAATTATTGGATTGATTAGCCATTATTTATTGTCGAATCGAAACTGCTTTGTGTGCTTCTAAAAACTATTATGTGATTGTACAGTAAAACTGGTTTGAACTATGTAATAATGAAGCATTTTATTGTTATTAGTTATATGTTATTAGTTCTCTTTGAAGTTTTTACGAACAATACCTTGAATTGTTAAACATCAACCTCCAAACAATATAAACTTTAGAAGACTCTCTTCTCAACTAATTTTTGAAGTACTTTAATTCATTTCCTCTTTGACTGGATGCACATATGTACGTATGTTAGTTCAATGCCAGAAGGTATTCGGAATGCTGTTTCAACTCCTAATCAGAAACTAAGGGCAGCACACCTGCTCTCTCGAGACGGCGAGACGAAAAGCCGTTATCACCCACCCCTTAGCAACGACATGGCGCACGAGAAGATCAAATAAACAAACAAATAAAGCTTATTAGATAGACAAACATCAGCAAAATAACAAATCATTTAAGGCAGAGCAAGCAGAACAACAACAACTGCTGAGTTATTTATCTTCGCACTGCAAATGAAAAATAATAGGAGCACCTCGGATATCATTTCAAGTTCATTATCACCTCCATGAATAGGAAAAACACCAGTCAGATAAAACAAATCATCGTTAGACTGTACATTAAGTTTCGTTAAACGAGCTCCATAAAGAAAATTCCTCTGGCAGCGTTCGAAATTATTTCATATAATATGGGAATCTGTCCTCGCTTTGTTAACAATCATCAGAATGTCTTCACAAACCTTATTCTGGATGTTAATAGTTCTTCAGTTGGGGCGGTTTCCCCACCTCAGGTCTTGTCAGTCACACAGTTTATGTGTCTCCGTGTTACTTTGGAGCAGTACGAGTACAACGAAAAACTAAAGCCAAAGTTTGTTGTATGCCAATAACAATTGTCTATATTTAGAGCACTTTAGCCGCGTGAAAAACAAAAGTAAAGAAAAAATTCTAACGCATACATACCTGTAGATATGGTCTGTGTATGTGTGTCTATTTTTGAGAGTCAATTTAACAATACAAAGTCGTCATTGATTACTTTGAAAGTCGGTGGAAATCGATTATTTGATTATTTTCCTTTGCGTTGCCTACATTGTCATGGTCTTTGTTCACCTTTGGCTGCGTACCTTTTAAACCTATGTACACACTTACACATGTATGTACATAACATTTATTAAATTTATATATTGTATTAAGAGAAGAAGAAGTAGTATTAACATAATTAAATGAAGTTGTCCAAAATGGCTGTCTGTTAAAACTGAAGTAAACAAGGAAATTTCGGTTGATAACAGAAGGAACATAAATAAGCGATCGGCTTTTGAGAACCAACCTAATTACAAAAGACAAATACAAACGTATTTCGCAACGAATTTTTCTGTTTTCAAGGCTTAGTTCCTGTATAAATCAATAATGTCACAAATTCAAATCCATTCAGTATTGTCGATTGTAATTTGATTGATTTGGGCTATTGATGGATCTACAACTGCAATGATCAAATTGATTGAACGTAGCGTTCTGTACATCCATGTGTATATAACTTGTTACTAAACGATTTAATGAGCAATACATACAATATTTATAATTCGAAGGAAATCATCATATGAATCAATTGTCATTGGTGTATTGCGACTTGTTTAAGATTATATCCATTTAATTCTCTCTCACAAACATTATAAAAACCATTCATCAAGATTATAATCAATATTTTTCATAGTTTTATAATTGAAAATTTGTTCACTTTTTCCCACCACAGGGACCGAGGAGGCGCCAGTCCGTTCAGTTGTGAATCGAGTTGGGCACCAGTTACAAAAATGTTTGAGTGAGAAGGGACTCTGCTTGCTTGTAAATCATGGTATTTCCGATGAAAAGGTTAGCTCCAAAATAGAGGCTATTTTTTATTTAGATAAACTTATAAAGTTCCATTTGCTTAACATTTGATCCTCTTGCAACCTCTGTACTTTCAGCTGAAAACCGCTTGGGATCATCTAGATGACTTTGTTGATCTACCGAATGACGTAAGGGAGCTTTATATACGTACCGGTGATGATAATCATGGATACGTGCGTCCTGGTGTTGAACGTTTCGATGGCAAAACACCCGAATTGCGTCACGCTTTCAACATATGCACATTAAATGCTACAAATCTACCTGAAGAACCATTGCCTGGGTTTGCGGAACATATATCTTCGTTGGCACAGGATTTCAAAGCCCTTTCGCGCTTCATCCTACAGGCACTTGCTGTCTCCCTCGACATACCACAGTCGTTCTTCCTCGAGAAGCACTCACACATGCTGTCCGGTGACCACGACAATGAGTCCACACTGCGCCTCCTGTATTATCCCCCTATCATTGAAGATACCGATGATAAGAATGACTTTGTCAAAGGAAGTTGCATTTACAGCTATCAGCGCTGCTTGTCAGATCAGCCTGATTTCCGGCCCGAATCGAATCCGCGTGATGAAATTAACGAACTGGATGGAAATGAAGAGAACAAGAACACCACCGTACGCCAATTGCCCAACGGTGAGATGATACGTTGTGGTGCGCACACAGATTATGGCACATTCACATTATTGGCACAAGACTCTGAGGGTGGCCTGGAGGTGAAATTGCCCGGTAGTGAAAAGTGGCAACGCGTTGGTCATCTGCCCGGTGCCATTTTGATAAACTGCGGTGAAATCCTCTCAATATGGACAAAAGAAAGATATCCTGCATTGGTAAGCACAGTTTCATCTTAGTTTAATTTTTAATTTAATCGGAGGTTTTTGACCAAAATTAATTACCACTAAATTAGAAATAAAGCAGAGCTAATTATTATGCTACCTCATACTCATACTCTACTATAGTACAGTCGACAATTTCAAGACAGCATCATTTGATGTTGGCAATGCTAAACATTTTGATATTACACCAAAGAAAATAAAACCACTTTTCTATTACAGCCTCATCGTGTTGTGATACCAGAGCAGCAACATATACGATCGCGAGGACGCCACTCAATAGCGTTCTTCTGCCATCCAGGTGAGTGAGCCAAAACACAAACCGCGGAGCTCTATTGCTTTGTTGCAGTTACTTAAGAATTGTATTGATTTTCAGATAACCTAACTATGATATCACCAAATGATCTGCCCAACACCGAAGCCGGCACAGACACCGTCGACAAGAAACCGCGCAAGAAGTCATTCAAGGCGGCGAAAGAAAAGTACGTGCAACGGTAGAATTTACACTAAAACACATTTAACAGTATTATTCTCTCATGCCTTTTCAACCACCATTCATTTTGTGATCGCTTAGACCTACATAACTTATACGCGCCTTTTTTCCTTCAAATCTTTTTAGAGTATACAACGCTTACCAGTTGATACAGAAGCGATTTCGCGAAACGTATGGACAGCAAAACTCGCACTGATAATCACACCGGAACATCTTAGCTCTTAGCTCATTGGTCCATATTACAACTTACCTTCATATATAGATTATTTAGCACATAACGACAGTGACGTGAATAAACATTGTGTCGCAGTGTTCCAGTTGTAACATAAACGGAAAAGAGCACCTCGGGTTCAGCGCTAAGCCACTTTTATTCCGCAAATAAAGTCGAGTTGTGCTTGTTTTCTTCATTAAGTTTAATTTAACTCATTCATGTTGTATTTATATTTGTATGTCAGACATAATTTGTATTCGTATTTTTATTTATATTTTAATAGATTTTTATCCTAGTTGTACATCATATATACACCTTGGTACATCTACACAAAGTACACAATGTATATGTATGCATATGCATAACGGATCTACTAAATACATGTATGTGTGTATGTCCGCAATGCATTGGCAACGTTCGTATTAACATTTACGTAAATAAAACGAACAGTTACAATACATAAAATAATTACATTATAATTGTCTTTGGTTTGCATTAATTCTATTGTAAACTTCTTAGTATTTCAATTCCTGAATTGACAATTAACAAACACACATTTACTTACATACATACATACATACTACATACTTATACATATAAACATAAGAAACTTATGTCTTAATTCGGCCCTACTTTCTACTTCGCATCATTGTCGAGAGGTATTACATAGAGTACACTATATATACACTGTCTCTTATACACATCTAGATGTGTATAAGAGACAGCATACATACTACATACTTATACATATAAACATAAGAAACTTATGTCTTAATTCGGCCCTACTTTCTACTTCGCATCATTGTCGAGAGGTATTACATAGAGTACACTATATATACATATATATGTATATCTATTTGTAACGATAAATAAAATGGAAGTATACAAAAGTAAAGAATAAAAACTATTTTCTATGAGAATTCTTCGAGAAATTTGCCAGAAATGTCTACGAAACGAGTAAAGTGCGAAGAGGACTCATTTCAGGTGTTGCCGAGCACTGTAAATCAATTGAGAAAAATGCGAATGAAATGCTCCCAAGTGTCTTTATTTTAACAGACATTGCGTATTAATGAAACTATTGATGTTAGCCGAACTTGCGTAATGATTGCACACATTTCCGATACGTATTCACTTAAATCAGAAGTGATAGAGACAAGATTGCGATTCGACGTATGTATAAACAAAACGAACTGTCACCATTATAAGGGGTAAAACCAAAGCCTTCCTTTCTCGCTGACGCCAAGCGCTCACTAAAAAGTAACAGAATGGGTGTGTCATAACCTCAATTTCATTTATATCATATCATTTTCGACTTATAATATAGATCACATACTTGCTTAGTTTCATACTGCTTCATATTCGTAACATCCACTCAAAAACTTCTGGAATTGTTCAGAAATCACTACTTTAGGAATTAAGTGTTGTTCTCTTGTGTACAAAGTCGGCCAAATAGACCGAATCATTTTTATATGTTTGCAGAATTAAATAATGGTCTAAACCTATTTAACCCGATTGTCGCACTAAATTACACTATTCCCTAGAAAACTTATTTACCTCAGGTCGTTAAGATATTTATATACATATTGGCCAATATCAAGCGGAGTGCGCAAAGATGTTATTAATTAAAATCAAACAAAGAATAAAAAAAATATCTCCCCCCTTCGTTTAGAAACACATGTAACTTCATGCTTATTTGCCAGCTTATTATCTCACAGCAATGTTTCCACCAAATTCATTGAGTGCCACCAGTCACCAACAACACTCATAACGCAGTGTCATAAATAGCTTCGCAAGTTGTTTTTTTTTAACGTTTACACCTGAAATCAGCAATACATTCGATCCACTGCCCTCATCCCCCTTTTCCATGCCATTTTATTAATGAAATAAAATCGAAGAAAGTGCCAATAAAAATCACTGGCAATAAATGTTCGGTCGAATATACGATCGACATACAAATCAGTAAATTGTTCACACATTTTATTGGCTATCAAATGGCTATCACTTAGCTGAACACATTCACCATATGTACATATATTGGTTTATTATTTACATATATGTGTAGGAATGTACGAGTGTACTTTCATTGGTATATGCTGTTTAATCTGGGAATTCCTGTTAAAAAAATATTTGTAAATTTTTGCAAGAAGAAGACATTTTGAATTCGTCTGTATTTTGGAAGGTATAGACGCAGATCGAAACTAAGGGGTCAATAAAATGTTTTTTGGGGCCAAACAAGTATTTTTCCAGGCATTAGAGTCTGTTAGGCGAGGTTGCACAATCTGATATTTGTTGGATTCTCCCCTCTCCCACGCTTAGTGTATCGAAGACTGCTATTATAGTATCTGCACATATTTATATTATTTAATTTCTTCAAAGCTTAAAAAAAAGAGCAAAAATCCACACCTGCTTCCTTTTTTTATGTTATTGTGCATATTTAAGCAATATTTTTTTAAATACATTTTATTATACGCAAGTTATTAAGACGTTTTTTTCTGTTCCTGTATTCAGTGACTCACTGAAAATAGCATTGTGTTAAAACGAAAATTAAAAATTGACACTGACGTCACAGTCAACTAAAAAAAATTCTAAATAATTCCCAATCGCGAGATGTAACTCTTTACTTTGCTGAAGTCTAAATAAATGATTGACGTAAATGGAAGTATTCATTTATTTGCGGTATGAGTCCATAGTTTGGCTGGTACCATGGATGTATATGCCCTAGAGCCTGCAAGAAATCCAGTTATCATATTTTTATTAAATTTGGATTATGAACTTTTTACTAAACACAAATTAAGATATACAAGTAAAACTGTAATTGGTACCAAATATGTGGACCCCAGTATCTAAAATTTACTTTTGACCGAAAATATCGGTCAATGCATGGAATATAAAGTTGAAATTCCGGGATTATCCTTTCCTCTTAATGGTATGTCTGTGTATCAAAAATGGGCTGAATCGAGTCAATACTTCCCTAAGCTCCCATTACCCAATACCTAATATAAAGATTTTCGAACTTCCGGCGACGTTATGCTGGATATATCGACCAATATGTGAGTTATCTTAATAAATTATATATATACTTGTGTTTAGAATAAATTAAATTGCCCTAGACCCATATAACTTATGTACCTTAAGGTACTTCCCCGGCTTTGGTCCCTGAAATGCAAGAGTATGAAATATTCGGTTATACCCGAACTTAGCTCTTCCTTAATTGTCCAAACTCACTTTACAAATGCACAATGCGAACATATGTATTTGACTATGTATGTATGCGAGTTTGCTTATTTATGTACTGTTTCATAAATTTATTCATTTATTCCGAGAGCTTATTGTTTTCCCCCAAATAAAAGCTCCAACAATAAGCACAACGTTTCACGCTTTCATTTTACCGAACTTTTGTTTTATCTTTATTGTTATTTTTGTGTTAAAAAAGTGTATGTATATTAGTAAATATGCATGCTGACTTGTCCTTCGAAATGTTTTTTCGTTATTGTCAATTTTATTTAGCTCGTTTGCATTTCGTTTTACAGCCTTTATTTAAAACCTTACATTGACAGCCCCCAGCTCGCACGACCGCTCAGGTGATATGCGTTTTAAGTCTTTTCGCGATAGCATCGAAGTTACTTCTATTAAATTTGTACACAGCTGAACACGTATGCAAACATAGTTTTTTTTACGATTGCTGTAAGAACGTCACAGTAGATAATACGCCAGCGAACTAAATAAACCGAAGCAACAAGTTCGAGTGTCGAGGAATGGACGCCAACAACAGCAGAACGTTCTTCTTTTTAAACTCTCACAAAAAATCGCAATGAGTGTAATCGTTTTGAACAAGTAGCGGCAGTAGGCATCACTTGAAACTAATCTTGATAATATATAACACGAAAGAACGTTAACTTCGGTAATTAGAAAGCTTTCCATACGAAAACTTTGGTGGATTGATCAGTTTGTATGGAAGCTAAGTATACTCTACAATGATCCGATATCGGGGTTCTTGGGAAGAAAACGAAGTGTGTAAAACTTCAGATCGATATTTCAAAACCTGGAAGGCCCATAGAGTTGGTTGGTATTGTAGATCATTGGATCGGCCCGTTGTCACGCCCACAAAACCAACGATAATTCAATTCTAAGCACAAGAGATAAACACAGCATAACAAAGATTAAAAAAACAAGTAAGGAAGGGCTAAGTTCGGGTGTCACCGCACATTTTATACTCTCGCATGACAAGTTTCATCAAGATATCTCAATTTTTACTCAAGTTACAGCTTGCACGGACAGATAGACAGACATCCGGATTTCAACTCTACCATCACCTTGATCACTTTGGTATACGAGGTGTGTCCAAAAAGTATCGCGAATTTTGTGTTTTTTCAAAAATTATTTATTTATTTATGAATATCTATTTTGTYCCCTTCAAAGTAATCCCCATGAGATATTATACAATTGTGCCAACGGTTTTTTCAATTTTCGAAGTGCTTCAAAAAATAATTTTTTTTATAACCTTCAGCTCCTCCTTCGATGCCGTCTTTATCTCGTCAAGAGAAGCGTAACGTCGTCCTTTCATGGGCCTCTGCAGTTTAGGGAACAAGAAAAAGTCACAGGTGGCCAGATCTGGGGAATACGGTGGCACAAGTCACACACAAGCAACGATGTGTGAGCAGGGGCGTTATCGTGGTGCAAAAGCCAATTTTTGTCACATCTTCTCGGCCTTCTGAGAACATTTTGTACCACCGATAAACGTTGTTTAGGTTCAAGGTAGCTTCTCCGTATGCCACAGTCAGCATTCGGAATGCATCCGCGCACTTAATTTCGTTGTTCACACAAAATTTGATACAGGTTCTTTGGTCCATTTTTTTGAATATGTAAAAATCGAAGACGATCCAAAACACGTGCAAGCAAAGCAGCTGTCAACAAGTAAATGAATATTCAAAATGGCCAAGCTTGTTACTTATTGGACACACCTCGTATGTAACCATATATCTGATGATATATACCGGTATTAGCAACTTTATTGCGAGAGTATAAAAATGATGCTCAGAGGGCATTACATTCATTTCATTACATGAAAATATCTGAGAAATTTACCGATATTTCCGTTGAAAAATTAGGTTAGGTTAGGTTAGGCACTGAGTTTTTCTTGTTCGATATCCACAAGGGATACCTCAGCTCAAATACCGTATTTGTGTAAAGTTTTATTCCGCTATCATCATTGRTTCCTAATGTATATATTATACAGAGAAGGCATCAGATGGAATTTAAAATAGCGTTATATTCTAAGAAGGCGTGGTTGTGAACCGATTTTACCCATATTTCGTACGAATTTCATTGAAATTGGTCGAGTTATTCTTAAGATATAGTTTTTGGTCCATAAGTGGGCGACGCCAATCCCATTTTCAATTAAAAAAAAAGCCTGGGTGCAGCTTCCTTCTGCCATTTCTTCCGTAAAATTTAGTGTTTCTGACGTTTTTTGTTAGTCGGTTAACGCACTTTTAGTGATTTTCAACATAACCTTTGTATGGAAGGTGGGCGTGGCTATTTTCCGATTTTTTTCATTTTTGAGCTGTATATGGAAATTCCTGAAGCAAACGACTCCATAGAGTTTAGTTGACATAGCTATAGTAGTTTCCGAGATATGTACAAATTACAAAATTACGTTCAACTATGTCCCTCCCTAATGCGATCCTTTGTGCCAAATTTCACTTTAATATCTTTATTTATGTCTTAGTTATGACACTTTATAGGTTTTCGGTTTTCGCCATTTGTGAGCGCGGCAGGGGGCCGATTTTCCCCATCTTCGAACCTAACCTTCTT